TATTTGCACAAGTACGTGGTCAAGCCAACTGCCGCAGTTCCTTGACGTTCGGCGGCGTCGGTCACTCATTGATCACTCTGACCTTCTCAGGGTCAGGGCAGACACCGTTCTTCCCAACGTGACACCCGAGCACGGGTATCTCGCTCGCCCCGAAGATGCACTTCTTCATGTTCGCATAGAGCTTGTGTTTGCGCATGAGCGCAAACAGCTTCCGGAGATGCACCTTGTGCATCTCAACATCGCTCATCCCGTCGGCAGCCCGGCTGTGGACGAACACATCGTCGAAGTAGCTCGGTGCAAAGTCGCGCACCGAGCGCAACAAGTGCGTCACGCACCTGTTGAAGGTCACAGGAGCGTTCTTCAGACCCTGCGGCATCACTAGCCACTCCCAGGGCATGCCGCTCGTCGTGCTCACGGCCGTGAGAGGGATATCGCTCTCACGCATGAGGATCTGATAGAATCCATCGCGCAGGTCAAGAGCACTGTAGATAGTGCTCCTGGCCATCGAATCGATGATGACATCTTTTCGCGGTATCGGTGTCTGCGCCGGTATCGTCGCATCGTTCAGCTTGTTGTACGCATGAACGATGCGCCAACCGCCCTGTGGCTTCTTGACACAGAACGTCGGAGCAGTGTGCGGGGATTCTGATTCCCGCACTTGTCCAGCTTTGCGACGACTCTCAAAGAAGTCGTCGATCGCCTTGACCTGCTCTCGCGGCAGTGGCCACTGCCGCGTGACACAGTACTTCGTGCCCGGTACGAGATCAATCTCGTGCTGGATTCCCTTGTCCTGCGGAAGTTCCGCAGGGATCTCTTCGGGAAGCACGTCCGCGTACTCCCGTAAGATCTCGTAGTAGGGACTCGTCCCAGCTCTGCTCTTCAAAGCGCTCCTTCTTCGTCTTCGCACTGAGAGTGTCCTCGCTCTCAGTGGTGGTCTCCATGAAGAACTGCCTCAGTTCTTCATTCTCGCTCTTCGTTCTCTCGGCGTCCGAGAGAATGCATATTTGCTCGATGCGTCCATCATGCAAGTCACGCGCGAAGCGCTTCCAGCTCATGACTGGAAGCGAAGTGCTTGCGTCGTAGGATTAGCGAGAGTCAGCTCCCTGTACCGAATCCGGAGGTACGCGTCAAGACGTTCAGCGTCTCGACGTCCGGCTTCTCAGCCTCGGTCTGCCCAGCAGACATTTCTTGTAGCGTCTCGGCCCAGGCCGAGACTTGCGCAGCGGTCTTCGCATGCGCCGTCTTTTTGTTTTGCGGAGCCCGGCTCCGCTTGGTTCTTGACCTCGTCCAGGCCCAGCCGTGGACGGGTTTTCTTCTTCAGTACCGCCGGCGGGTACATCCCGCGGGCGAGCGACTTCAAGCCCGGCTTGGTAGAACGGCGCTTCGTCGTGCAGCCCGGCTGCACGACAGCATGCAAGTTTTTTTTTCGGTGCGGGACGTTTGCAACCGTCCGCACCGCCTGCAGCGTCGACTCCCGGAGCCGACACGCCATCTTCACCTCGACGCCTGTTATAGGCGGAGACCCTTTCGGGGCTGTTGTCCTTTTCGATGCCTTCGCAGGTCTTCCTTGGTCGTGTTTGCCGCCTCCAATGACGGTGTCGTCGACAGTTGAGAAGCGAAGGACACACTGGCCAAACAGACAACTCCGGTGGATCTTGGATCTGCACTTGAAGGTAGTTCACTAGGAAGGTTTCGGATCTGGCCAATATATTACTCCAGTCTTACAACCAACACCAGCTCTACTACCGCTAACCTCTCTACGCCGTGTAAGGCCAATGTCGTTCCCGTTTCCAGGCGAGGGAGGAAACGCTTGCGATGTACAAGGCAAATTCGGTTCTGATTTATGCTTAAGTTCGTTCTATCTCAAAGTCCTATCACCATGTGGATCCTATCATCCCATCTGTGCTTACCGACTCTATGGGCTCCCATTATCTTCATTGCGTGTCAGCTGCTTGCCCGTCGAGTCGTGTCCACAGCTTCCTGATTACGCCTGAATTCAGAACCACGTTGGACCTTGGATCTTGCATCCTGGATCCACCTGAGTCCAGATCCAGATCCATCTCAGTCTGGATCCAGCGCAGATCCAGATCCATCTCAGTCTGGATCCAGTGCAGATCAAGATTCATGTCGGATCTTGGATCCTGGATCCACCCGAGTCTAGATCCAGATCCACACGTTGGATTTGCGTCCTTTCACTGTCACTCTTCCGGATTTGTGCCGAGGTCCAGATCCGTCACTCGTCTCATCACTGCTATAACTCTTCTCCGGGAATTGCGCTTCTCCACCGGTGTCACGTTGAGCGGATTAAGCGCGAACGAGATCGTTTGCAGGAGAATACCGATCACCTGGCAACCGAAGTAGCCGTTGCTGGTGCCAAGATCCAAGATCTTCAGCGTCGGAGTTCGGATCAAGAGCGTGACTTGCAAGATGCAAACAACGAGCATGACCTAGCCGAGCAAAGCTCACGCTGTGCGCAGGAGGCTCTTCAACGAGTTGCAGCGAAGCTCGAAGTGAGGCGAGGCCGATGAAACCTTTGTCGCCCAGTGGGGGGGGGGGTTCGTATAGCGCAGCCCAAGACTGTTCCCCAGGGGTAGACCCAGAGAATCGACTTGAGAGTCAACAGCAAGAAGATAGACCCAGAGATTCGCAGCCGCAAAGCTTTAAACCCTGAGAATCACACTCCTTGGTTGATGTGGGTACCTTGTGTAATCCCTGTCGGCTCGTTTGTCTTCGACGGAACGGCACTCCACCGTTTGAAAATGTAGCCTCGAAGAAGTGCGGGAGGCGCACGTCTACTTCAGAACGCACCTCCACACCAAAAGGCAAACCCAGAGAATCAGATCCCCTGAAACCCAGAATATCACGAATTCAGGGTCCAGGTTTTCAGTCAACTCTGGGACTTGGAACTCAGAAGACACCTTACCCAAATGTCTCCTAGCTCGATAAAACCTACAAATACAGAGTATACAAACACTACAACTAGCCGTCACTTATTCTTTTGGACCCTTGGACGGTGGGTCACACACACACACTAGGCTCACTCGAGTCTGAAATTCAGGGGCCTAGCTCCCCTGATACTCACACAAACGCGCACCACCTCCAATAAACGAGGAAAATACAATCACTATCAGTTACCTTCCCTTCACACAAGCAGTCAATACAAAATCCTGGAGGCGACTACCTAGCACCCCAGAATACCCTCTGGAATAATATGAAATGGGCTACCACGAGCACAGCAAGTGACCCAACTAGGATATGGAATAGATGGATCACCCCAGGAAACTCACGGCCGTCGCTGGTCACCACCTAACTGGACTTGAGTTTGATGGAGCCCACACAGACGGCTGTCCTTCGCCGTTGATATGCCCTTAGCGTCCCGTGGTCGTAGTCTCGGGTCCTCCGGATTTCCGTCGGCAGGCTTGGCCGAAGTCACTTGCGCAGTACAGGGTAAAAGGAACTCTGTTTGGTTTTTATCAGCTACTTCTCTCTCTCTCTCTCTCTCTCTCTCTCTCTCTCTCTCTCTCTTCTTCGGGCAAATATCTTCTGTTCACTATGCTTGGGGTCAAAATGTCTTGGTTTAGTATGGTACAGGACTCCCTCTCGACTCCTCGAAAGTATCCAGTCTGTGCATCCATGACGGTTCTTCAAGGTCACGCATCACTTTGATTGCAGACTGACTTCGAACTGACTCGAATCCCTGAAAATCAGGTGACACTCAGGGTCATCTTCTGAAATCCTGGGAATTCTGAGGAATCTTGGGGAATTGTGGGGATTCTTGGGTGTTGGCTCGGGAAACACTTAAGTTCAGTATAGAGAGTCTGGATTTATGGTCCAAACCCAGGGAATCATCTTTGGAACTCTGGGTCACCTGCACTCAGGGAGGTAAACTCTGGGTCATCGTGCGGCACTCTGCCAATTGTGGGTCCTTAGACTTGGTTTAGTATGGTACAGGACTCCCTCTCGACTCCTCGAAAGTATCCAGTCTGTGCATCCATGACGGTTCTTCAAGGTCACGCATCACTTTGATTGCAGACTGGCTTCGAACTGACTCGAATCCCTGAAAACCAGGTGACACTCAGGGTCATCTTCTGAAATCCTGGGAATTCTGAGGAATCTTGGGGAACTGTGGGGATTCTTGGGTGTTGGCTCGGGAAACACTTAAGTTCAGTATAGAGAGTCTGGATTTATGGTCCAAACCCAGGGAATCATCTTTGGAACTCTGGGTCACCTGCACTCAGGGAGGTAAACTCTGGGTCATCGTGCGGCACTCTAGGTTTTCCGTGCGGCACTCTGGGTAACAAGTCTGCTGCAGTGCAGACTCGTGTGTATCTCCTCAAAGCCACACTTTTAGTGGGTTTAGTGGCCTCCTGCGCATGGTCACAGTGGTAGTGGGTTGATTCCCAGGGTAATTTGATCCTCTGGGGCACTCTGAGCCACAGCAAGATGAGGTGTACTCTGGGATACATTCTCCAGAGACACTTTCCGCCAGACTTTAGGCACTCATCGTAAGGGAAAGTCCGCGGCTGGGCTGAGTGTTCTCTGAAATTCTGGGCGTGCACTCCCAGGATTCACACTTCCAGTCAGTTGGGCCCATCTGCGGTCAGACGCTGGATTCATCCCGAGAAATCACTTCTCTCCCACAGTCGCCATCCATGTCACACGGGTACAGCCGCGCCGTATCCAAGTCATCCACCAATCAGCATCCGATACAAACTCCAGGTCACAGAGGTGACGGCACATCGTCGGCAATTTTCTGGGGACCGCCTCGTGTCAACCGCCCCTCCTGGTCCGGGTCCATCAAAGAGGAAATCGCTCCGAACTGGTGAACCATGGCCAAGCCTCAAAAACATACAGGTCCATCCACCGTCGACTTCGACACGGCCGTTGCACTCTGTCGCCTCCCAGGGTTTCACTCACTTTGGCGGCACCCTGTCTCCCCAACGGTTGGTCAGGACCTATCTTCAAGGTTCTCCTCTCAAACGCAAAAACACCAACGGGCAATGCGCGGTCACATCGCCATTTCGCAGATCGTCAACATGGTGGAGAGCGCGACTTCGGACGGCAAGCAAGCGACGGCGCCAGCTCAAGGCACGGCGCCCCCCGGGAGCGCGCCACCTCAGACACAGCAGCGCACCGGCGGCGCCCCTGCGAGCACCGCACCAACAGGCGCCGGCAGCGGCCAGGCGGGTAACTCAGCGTCCCGAGACACTTCAACGGGCAGCACCAAGACGGACGTGACCAAGCGCATCTCCTTCTCCAGCGCCACCGGCAAGACCTCCGACGCGGACATGCGCGAGGCCGATGGCAACGCCTCGACTGACGCTGCAACCCAGGAAACTGGTGACGCGAACTCAGAGTCCAAGGCTCCAGACGCAGGCGGCGTGGCTCCGGACGTGGGCATGGAGGGCGCCCCTGAGTTCAAGTTACCACGACACGCGACGCTAGAGGACGTCAGGGGACTCATCTTCGCAGGCATGCTTCGGCAGGAGGTGGTCGATCCCCTGACTTCCTGGTCCCTGAACGCCCCCCGCACTGGAAACTGCCGGCTCCGCCGAATCTCAAGACCAACGCGTATCTCGTGGGGTCCCAGGGATCGTGAACGACATTCGCGCGGGCGCGTTCGCCATGAAAGGCTACGGCGGCGCGACCACGTTGATCGGCTTCGAGGAGCTCTCCGACGAGGATCTTCAGGGGTTGAAGGAAGTCTGTGGCGCCGACGCTGGGATCGATGTCCTATGTCCACGTCGTTCGGCTCTTTCAGCGTTCGAACTGGACAATACCCTGAATTCCATCGGTATTCGACGCGAGATCGCCTCACTCCTGCGTCACTTCAACAGCACAAGGCTCGCTGAGCGCGTGTTCAAGATGACCGGTTACCTGCGTCGAGTCCTCGGGGCCTACCGAAACATGCGTTCTGTGGCTGACTCTCAGCAGGGTTTCACCGCCACTCAGGAAGTATTCGACACGCGACGCAAGTACAAGGAACTGAAGCGCGCCTGGAAATTCACGTGCGACTACTGGTTCCTGGAGGTCCAAGAGGCCCTGGGCAAGGTGGATGACGCTGAGTCCAAGTACAAAGTCGCGCTGGGCGAGCAGAAGACGCGGTATCAAGACGAGATTGATTCTCTGGAGTCCGAAAAGGCGCAACTCAAGGCGCGCCTTGCCGACTCTGAGGCACAAGCGCGAATCCTGAAATCGCGTCTTGAGTCAGCCACCGTGGACCCCTGGAAGTTCTCCGATTTCCTTCAAGAGCACACAGACTTCACGGGTAATTGGGAGCGCCTCCACGACCTCTTCAAGCTCTGCATCAAGGGCTCGAAGCATCCTGGGACACTGTCATCAACGTCACGGCCATGGACAAGCGCAAGGCTGCGGTGGCCCCGTACCCAGAGAAAAGCACACGTATGCCTCTGTCTTCGGGGTCTGGATCGTCCGGTCGTCCTGAAATTCTGGTTCTCACGGATCCTGGCAGCAAGCCTCGCAGCGGTTCGAAGACCGGGGGCAAAACTCAGGATTCCAAGAAATGTCAGGGTTCCAAGAAAGTCAAGACCCCAGAAAATCACGGGATTCCAAGGCGCCGGGCGAGTCGCCACGGCAGTCGGCGCACCCTAAGCCTCACAAAGTTCAGCGTCGCCCCAAGGATCACCAACCAGGCCGCGACTCTGTGCGTCGCGCCAGCGAGAAGACTGTGGTGTCCAAGGAGGCCGCACACACGATGCTCCCGGGTGGTGTCGTCTGGAAGGAAGTTCGGCCCGACGCACGTCAGGCCATTCTTGCTGGGCTCAAGTACGACACAGCCATGGAGTGGATTGGCAGCGACCGGGCGGCTCACGGGCACTTCAGGCAGCCGCAGCTGATCAAGATGCTCGTGAGCATGATGTACTGGCGTCGTCTTGACCTGACTCCCTGGAGCAAGTACGTCCCTGAAGCCTACTACGAAACGGCAGACGAGCGTCTGGACAGGTGCCTTCGACGCAGTGATGTGCCACCACCCTGGGGGAACCTCGATGACCACATGGTGTACCCTGATGAGGACGCCGATTCCACGGTGGACGACATCGAGAACGACCCGGACTACCAGCCTCCCGCCCAGGAACCTGAGGAGAGCGCCTCTAGTAATAGCTCTGAAGAGGAGGAGGTCGCCCCTGAAACTCTGGAGGACATCGAGGATGCAGAGGACGACGACGACGCTGAGGACGACAATGGAGTAGGAGAACCCCTGGAAGTCAAGCCTCCTGCTAAGCGCTCCCGTTCTGAGTCAAGCAAGAAAGCTCAGGGTTCCAACTCGAAGTCGAAGAAGAAACGTCGCACGGGAAACAAGACAGACACTTCTGCCACTCAGGGTTCTAGTGGTACTCAGGGGTCCAAGGCTACATCACGCTCCAAGCATCCGTCGACGCTCGCGCGGAAATCGTACTCGGAGCTCACTTGAAGTGAGTTGATGACGGCCGAAGACCGTGAGGACAACGAGACCTCCTGGCGCATCTATGGGGTTCTTGTTCAATATCCAAGTTCGACCAAGAGTGCGTCTTGCCAGACTCCCGGGTTCCCATAGTACGAGATCCACAAGTATTCGTACGACGGTGCTCACGAGCGTTGGGACCGTGAGGCATACCAATAAGTCCTGGATTCTGAACCCTGGGAGACTATGCTTCAGGGTCGCTTCCGAGTGTTCTACTTCCATGAGCGAGAACTACTCTCCGCGAAAGCGCTCAAGCTGATGGAGGACGTCGTGGACATCATGCACAAGCACGCACAGGCAATCTGGGAGCGCGGGCACTGGGTGCCTATTCCGACTGAAGAACAAGCAGACGCCACCATGGAATCTCAGCGGAAGTCGCGTCGAAACGCGCTACGCAGAGCGAACAAGACGCTCGTCGAGCGCTCGCGCAACACCCCTGGGTTCATCCCGTCGTTGTGGCACGAACCGGGTCTCTGGAAGTTCCCGGACAAGTGCTGCTACTGGATTTGGGAGGATCCCAGGGCCAAGAAACTCGGGGGAGCTAAGTGCAAGGACTTAGACGTCCAGCTAGCGGCGTTGGACATTCGCGAGCCTGCTCGAGTCCAATGGAACACGGCGGCTGACGACGATCAGTGGCTACAATACGTGCCGAACAACATCAAGCACCACATCAAGCCCCTGGCCATCCGCAAGCTCAACCCGCTGTCTCTCAAGCACTCGTGAGAGTCAAGGTCACCTCCAAATCCCGAGAACCACCTGAATTTCAAATGTCGTAGCGTAACTCTCCATAATACCCAGGATTTCATCTCGATTTCAATGTCTTCCCCAGAAATTCATCATTTTCTGACTTGTTCTCTGGGTCATCCAACTTCGTTTACTGTCTCCATGTCCTTGTAAAGCTCGCCGCCTTCATATTCCTTCTCACACACTGCCAAAGCCTCAGCAGTATCACCTTCTCCATAATCAAATCAAGTCAAATCACATTCACGTTTTCCGTCTCCAATATTCACACATTCCGTCGATTTTCCCAGAGTTTCACAGTGTCACCCAGAGTTTCCCCTGAATATCACGTGTAACTCTGGGTCATTGTCACCCCAGAGTGCTAGACTCCTGGGTGATCATCTCCAGTCTGCATGGCCTGGAAACGGGCCCGTGCTCTTGCGCCTTGATTGAATTCGTAGAGCAGGGCACCACAGTTGAGCTTCGACACAGGCAGCCACTCGGTCTCATCATACCCCTTCCACTTCACAAGGTACTCACGAATTCGTCTCGCTGTCCGAGTCCGTTTAGTCCATCACAAATCCAGGATTCGCTCAACTTCGTACTCATCGTTCGCAGCGTTGGGCTCCCAACTGTCTTCAGGCAACAGCGCCGCATCAAAGTCATCATTCTCGTCCACGTCGATCTCCACAGTGGACCGCTTCGGGAATAGTGCTCTGGGTTTCAAACGGCTCACGTGTACCCAGGGATTCACGCGATATCCTGTGTTCTCGACCCTGAGTTTCACGCGGAAGTTGTCATGGATTTCCTGAATTCTGAAGGGGCCATGCCACATGTGAGCCAGTTTGCGGCTCAGCCCGGGCTGCACTTTGGGTATATACAGCCACACAGCATCACCGACTGCGAATCCTGCCTTCAGTCGTTCGGACAGCTCTCTCCACTTCCTGGTTTGTTCGGCAGAGCGCGCGCGCTTGGCCTTCTTCTGAAGATCCTCAGCGCAAGCTTGTGCATAACAATAGTCACGCTGTAGCTTCCTGCGCCACTCGTACGCAGTGCGCTCCTGGATCCTCGAGGGCCTGGGTCCTAACATTGCAGACACCGTGCCGTGTGCGTACCAGCCGTGCACCAGAAAAAACGGAGTGTCCAGGCGAGTGGCATCGCACGATGTATTCAGGGCAAACATCAGGCGCTCAGCATGGTCGTCCCAGTCACTCTGGTCCGCCTCAGCAATGTACGCTCGAATGCTGCGCACGACAGACTCACCGACCGCTCCTGTTGTCCGTTCGCCTGGGGGCGATACGCTAGAATGGCTCGCTGCTTGCTACCCAAAAGTTCACGGAAGCGCGTGAACACCTCACTCATGAACCTTGGGTCTTGGTCGTGCCTCAGCATCGAGCTCGCGCCGAATCTCCTGAAGGCCTGCTCTTCGTACACTTCAGCGACATCTTGCGCCGTGGTGGGACTCATGGGTTTACACATGACGAATCCTGAGAACGCATCCTGAAAAAGCAGCAGGAACGTGTTCCCACGGTCCGACTTAGGCAAGTGTGTCGCGAAATTCATAGACACAACTTCAAAAGGGCGCCTCGGTTCGATGTTTCCAAGGGAAGGCCCTGGATTCTGAGGGCGCCCCTTGCCGCTGGCGCAATCCACACACTCTTTGACGAAAACTTCCACATCAGCGTACATGCCGTGCCAGTAGAACTCAGAGCGCAGCTTCTCGTACGTCCTCGTGATCCCCTGGTGCCCACCCTGAAAATCTTCGTGAGCGTAGTGCAGGATAGCCGGTCGCAGAGCTTTCGGCACCACGAGTCTGAGTTCGTCAACCATGTCTCGGGGTCGATCTCTGGTAGACCGACTCAAGCGGTACAGGACTTCTCTGGAATCCAACACGAAATCATCTGCGACCTTCGCGAGTTTCCTGGCTTGAGCGTGCGACAGCTTCGTCGTGTCTCCTTTCAGGAAATCCTTGAGTTGCAGCAGGTGATCATCTTTGTCCTGGTGCACTTTGATGCGTCGCCAGCGTTCCGCCTGGTACTCCAGAGGTCCCATGGGTTCGCTTTGGGCTTCGATCTCCTGAGTTCGCGCCCGAGTCATTACTGCAAACACTTTGGCCGCCACAGGCAACGGAGCGCACTCAGGTCCAGGGATACCCAGAGTTTCGACACCCTGAGAATCACTCCCCTGAATTCCGACGTTCAATAACACCTTCGGTCTTACCAACTTCTCGTGAATCTTGGACACCAACTGCAGATGTGTTCGTTCGTCAGCATCCTCCACCTTCCAGGATTCACCAAGCGCGAGGGTCTTAGACGTCAGGTAGTCTGCGGCCTGGTTAAACTCTCGCTTGACATGCACCAGCCGCACAGACTTGAACTTCGTCTTCAGCACTTCATACTCGGCCAGCTTCCTCTGGAGATTTGGCTGATTGCAGTTGATGAGACCCTGGGCTTGCTGGATGGCAATCCTGGAGTCCCCAACCACAACGATGTCCTGAATTCCACGCTCAATCGCCAGAGTGAGGCCCTTCAGAAGTCCATGATACTCAGCGTCATTCACAGTCACGTCCTCCAGGATGAATCCCTGGGCATCCAGGATTTCCCAACCAGGGACATGCCACAGAATGCAGCCACAGCTCCCTTGTCGCGTGGAGGTCTTAGCGGTGCCATCGAAACTCAGAATACACCCCTCATAGTCCGCTTCCAGCATTTCCGTACTGATAGGCACTGGAGGTTTAACGCGCCCCTTGGCTGGGATCAGGTTTTCAGCGATCTCATCCAAGTGTACTCTGGGGGTAATACCCGCACCTAGAATTGCAGCCAAGCCGTCTTCATCCCGTTGAACTCTGCGTATCTCCAGGTTCCAGTGGGACAACTTCAGACCCCACTTCACCGTTCGACCGTCTGCCGACTGCGAGGTCAGCAACCACTTCAACACAGAATATCGCGTATAGACGACAATCTTAGGGCTGCCTTCAACCAAAGTGCGAAACACCTCCAGGACTCTCAGGATAGCAATCACCTCCTTTTCCGCAATGTGATACCGCAGCTCAGCGTCATTCAGGACGCGACCTGTGAATCGAACCGGGTGCACAATCCCGTCGTACCCCTGACCCAACACAGCGGATGCTGCCCACGGGTTCGCGTGGGGAATAATCACGAAGGGCCTTGAACGATCAAAATGTCTGAGTAACGGAGTCGAAATAATCTTGTGCTTCAGAATTTCAAAGGCTTCCTGGGCTCTCGACAGGTCTCTCCTGGATTTCACTTGTTCCTCAGTCAGCTCGTACAGGACGGCCGCGATCACGGGTAGATCTTCAATGAACTTGTTGTAGTAATTCAGACTCCCCATGAAACTCTGGACGCCTTTCAGTGTCGTCGGGAACGGCAAGTCTTGGACCCCCTTCGCGATTTTAGGGGTCGCTCGGATGCCCTCAGCACTAATCTCGTGAGAGAGGTACGGAATGGACAACTTCCCGAATTCGCTCTTGGGAAGACTCACAGAGATATTCCAGTAACGTAGTCGGAAGAGCAGCGCGTTCAGATCCTGGCACAGCTGCTCCCAAGTAGGCGCACCGTGGGCGATGTCGTCGATATACGAGCTTCGACCCAGGACAGGGCCCATCTGAGAGGGAGCCGGGGTGTTACGCTGAAAAACAGTCATCTCATCCGTTAACACTGAAAGTCGCGGTGCATTTTCACCTGAAACTCTGGGTTCCCCAGAGTTCAACCCCAAAACGTCCAAGACATCTTGGTCAACCTCAGCTTCTTCCTCAGGGGAAAGCCGCAGAAATCCCCACATACAGTTATTGAGAACTGCTTGGTAGATCAGCGGCGCGTTCTTGAGGCCAAACGGCATCCTGACCCACTGGTAGTGCCCATAGGGACAGACGAACGCAGAGATCAACTTGGCTCTCTCGGTCATCTTGATAGCCCAGAAACCACTCGCCATGTCCAAGCTCATATACCACATCGCCGACTCAAAGCCAATCAAAAGATCATCAATAAGCGGCAGCGGATAGTGGAGAGCTTAATGAAGCCATTCACCACGCGATAGTCGATGCACATCCGGATGTCGACGCCATTCTTCTTGAGGACGATCACGATTGGAGATGCCCAGGGGGACGTAGAAGTCTCGATCAGCCCGTTCTCCAGAAGCTTCTTCAGAAGTTCATACACCTTAGTCCACAGGTGTGGTGCAATGGACCTTGGACGCTGGGCAACAGGTTTAGCGTCGTCTACATCCAGGTCACAAACCACTCCACGGGCAGGTGGGGGAGCTGCATTGCCGTCTCCCAAGAAGATCTTCCGATGATATTCCAGAATTCGCCTCACTTGGTCCTCCATCTCGGGCGTCGTTTTCCCAGGGACTCCAACATCTGCCTCCTCGATCTTGCACTTAGGGGTCAAGTCACGCATCTCAGGAAGCATAACCAACTGGTCACGCATCTGAGAGAGCAACTCACTTCCTTCACGTATGTAGACCGCAGGCTCATAGTCGAGGTCCTCTGTCGAAAGCCGCATGCAGCGCTCATATTCCTGCTTCAGCTTCTCCAACGGAGTTCCCGGCATCTCTGAGATCGGGATATCCCAGTAATCTTCAACAGCATCCTGAGAATCGTCGTCATCCACATCGAATCCCAGAGAATCACCTTCGTCGCACCACTGACCCTGAGAATCACTGCCAACTTCAACCTGTAAACTCAGAGTTTCAGCGGCCGTATCACCTTCAGGACTCATGCCCTCTGGGGTTCCGACAGTCTGCGAGGCAACATCGGTCACCGCCTCCTTCAGAACGTCACCCAAGTCACTCGTATCAACAGCAACATCTCGGAGTTCAGGAGGGTCTTCAGGAGGCACTCCTTCAGTCTGAGTTGCAGCGTCTTCAGCGAAGCGCACGCGACGAGGCTTCGGTTTCCTGAGAATCGAGGCAAGCAGTGCCATGTCGGGGCCCTTTGCAGGTCGCGGCAGAATCTTCGTAGGCCACTGTTACTCTGGGCCTCGACACAGGATGGCTCAAGCGCAGCCAGGTGTTCCGCCCGAAGTCTGCCCTCACGCCACTGAACACTCTCCAGAATAAGCGTCTGCCACTCCCGATACGTAAACGAACCAGGGCGCACAAAGCGTCCGGCACGTGGGAAGAAGCCGCACTCCACAATTCGGGCGACTGGCGTTCTGTTGTGAATCCAGACGTCCTTGTCCGAGATGTTGACCACCTTCACGGCGACCGGCCAGGATCTCGCAGCGTAAATCAGGTGCGTTACCCAGCGGTCACCTCGTCCTGCCCACACAACCTCACGCTGTGGGTTCGTCGGTCCATACGAGATCTTCACCACCTTGGATTCCCCAGGGGCCAGGTACCAACTACCTGTGGTTTCCACGGGCATGTCGACACCCAGGCGATCATCTGGAGTCCATCCACACATCATGATCGCCTCTTCATCCGGAAGTGTCACGAGACCTTCGCGAACACTGATCCTCACTCCAGCTGCAAACATGAAACTCATACCCAGAAGAACTTCGATCCTTCGCCGATGTTAGCAATCCAGACATCCAGGAGATATATCACCCTCGAACCGAGAGTAATCTCCACCTGAGCACTGGCACCGATGTACGTCGGAACGCCTACACCTTGGTTTGCTTATGCGACTTGAGTGTGAGTCCGAGCTTACGCGCTAAGTCGAAGCTCACAATATTCACAGTCGCACCGGTATCCAGGAGAACTCTCGTCCGGCAGTCGTTCACAGCACCATGCACCATCGCCACATCACGTTTCTTTGGGTCAGGATCATTGTTTTCCCACCATCCGTAGCGCTCTCCAGGGTTCAGCTTGTACTCCACAATTTCTTCAGAGTTCACCGACCCAGAGTTCGCTTGTTCAGGATGCTGATTTTCAGGGGAAGTCATGAAATCCTGAGTCAAAGTAGTCATGCATTGTTGGTTATCTTGGGTTCTTGTTCTCAGCTCCGGGCCTACATACACTAGAACACATAACGCTGGGGCCTTCTTCAGCCCGGCGCGTACTGGGTCCCCACCCAGCGGGCTTATTGGTTTGACGGCCTCCCAGAGTTTGCTTCGCCACCCAGAAGTTTATCCAGGATTTGGCTCGGCATGTTCTTCAGTGCACCTTGGCGGGCGAGTTTCTTCACAGCTTCCAGTGTCTTCCAGTCTCCAGCAGTCTTCCAGTCTCCAGCAGTTTTCCTCTGGGTGCTCCCATATGCCGCACTTCTCGTAGAACTTGTCCCAATTCGGGTTTTCGCGGCGAGGGGAACGGAATCCAGAGTTCGTGTTCGGTCCTGGTTGGGCGTTCGGTGGACGCCATCCCATGCTATCCATCACGCGATAGACCTCGTTCGTCAGCGTCTGAGTCCGCTCGGCACCCTTCATACTCGCCAGACTCCCAGCGCTAGGCGTAGAAGCTTCTTCTCCAGAGATCTCACGAGTTGACCCTGAATTCGCGCTCGTGCTTCGGGCTGAAACTCTGGGTTCGTCCGTGATTTCCTGGAAACGCGCGTGAATTTCAGGGTCTTCGTCTGACTCAGAGTCAGAGACATCGCCCCTAGTCACATACGCACGTCCTTGTCGCTTCGGCTTGAAACGTCCCTGAGGAATGTTGTCAGCACGAAAGTCACGAACTCTGGGTGGCGGAGCATCATGGTCGCTGCGGCTCCAGCCATCTTCGTCCTGTTCCAGGGCGTACTCTAGATCAGCGATACTCCTGAATCTCTGGCCCTGCAGCGACGTCTTGAGGCGCGTGTCCCTGAGTTTTGTGATGAACCTCCGGATATGTTTCTCCAGGCGCTTCGAAGACTTGCGAAAGTCAATGTCAGCCTTCCCCGCGGCGGAATTCAGACGATAAAAGAAATCCAGGGCGCTCTCTGAATTCTTCATCTCCATCGTCAAGTAACGTTCAGAGTACGACGAGCGCGCTTTGCAGTACTTCTTCCTGAATGCAGACGCCAACTCCTTCCAGTCACGCTGAGTGTGTTTGGGCAACTGGTTGAACCAGTCACGCGCAGCTCCCGAGAGTTTCAACTTGAGTTCCTGAATTCGCATCTTCGTAGACCAACCTCCCTGAGCCGCCATGTTCGCAAAACGCTCCCACCAATGCACGCGTTCCCTGAGTGACGCCTTAGTATCGAACTCACCCAGAGTATTTGAGTTGATGTACGGTCTGAACGTCAGGAGCGTAGTGCCAGCTTGAGCCGTAGAGGCCGTCGTCAGGTTAACCCCAGGATTCCCGTCCGAACTGTCATCCGAACTCTCAGAGGACGAGTCATCATCGCTGGAATCGGAGCTTGGGTCTGAGTCCGAGGGTGGATTGACATCCTGACGCTTCTTCTTCTGCTGCTGGTGTTTCTTGGGTGCAGAGCGCTTGGAGTCTGTTTTAGAGTCCTGTGAGGCCTTAGAGGTCGCTGTTCTCCTGGGATCCGACGTCTTCCCCAGAGACACAGGCTCGAGCTTGACATCCTGCGTCACCTTGGTCTCCGTAGCGCCATGTCCCCGCTTGACGCGCGCGATTCTGCCGGAAGTGTCGGCAGGAGTCTGCGCGAGGGTCGCTCTCAGCTGGGAGGCGGCGACTTCGGACGTGTTCTTTGGATCAGCTGTCTCCCGTCTCTGGCCTGTGACACTTGCGTTTCCGTTGATTACGCCACTGGATTCTTGGGGTCGGGTTGCAAGTTCAGGGTTCTGAGCCACTGACGACCCCACATTTGTTGCCAAATCAGGGGCGACGGTTGCGCGACGCGCTTGAACTTGGGCCAATGTTGCACGAAGGTCGCGCACTTGGCCGGCGTGGAAGCGCTGGATATTCTCGGAAGACTCCCGCTCTCGCTCTTTCTCCGCCTCAAGTTATTGGACCTTCTGCTCCATAGTTGACATTTGTTCCTTCCAACCGGCGTAGGTCTCGGAAACCCAGCGCGCGCTCCGAGTCGGCTTCGGCTTCGTGCTGTTGCCAGCGCTCGGCGTAGGCGGCATTCAGGCGCTCACGCTCAAGACGTGATACTCTGGGTCATCCCCTGAGTTTCAGTAGAACTCTGCGTCCTGCGCACGCCGTTCCGCTTCTCCTCAGGCGATCTCAGCGTGGACCTAGCGATCCGTAAGTTCCTGGATCTGGCGACGCGCGTCCAGGTCACGTTGTTCCCTGAGGCGCTCGCGCTCCAAGGCATCCAGGCGTTCTCTGGCGAGAAACTCGCGTTGCTCATGTTCCATGCGGGCCTGCCACTCCTGCTGTTGTCGCAAGACGTTCAGCTCGATTTGGGCGGGCCCAGACCTCGCGGACACGGACGAAACTGACCCAAGATTCCTGGATCCACTCGAGCGGCTCGACGCAGATGATTTTCTGGATTTCGTTGAGCGTCGAGAGCGCACCTCGCTCTTAGAGCTCTGGTGTTGACTCCGCTCATCGGCGCTGACATCCCTTGGACCACCAAATCCAGTAATCGGGGCAGAAACCCTGAGTTTCGGCTCGGAAGTCGTGGCTGAAATCCTGGGGAGACCGGCCTTCCTGGGTGCGATCTCTGCGTCAGAGTGCACCGACGATGCCATCTCAACGTCATCTTGGTCGACTGACACAATACGCGATGGGATGACTGTCCGGGTAACCTGAAATCCAAGATCACCGGCAGCTGCAAAGCCACCGGCATTCTGAGCCACAAGCGCTAGAGCTCCAACTCGTTGTCCAAGCGACATCATCGACGAAGACGAAGAGCTACCATAAGACGTTTGAACGCCCGAGGCAGTACTCTCATCCGAAGCGCGCGAGGTACCGATGACACTTGGCACCGCGCCTGGGGTAGTGGCCTTGGCTTCCGCCTCCAGAGAATCACGTCCATTGGACACGGAATTCAGGGGAGTGGAATTCTGAAGCGAGGCACCAGTCGAAGACTTGTACGCTGGAAGAGAGGACAGCGACGGTGTAGACAGCGCGGATGGCGTTGACGGGACTTGTGGCCGAGGCGGTCCATGCTGAGTACGCTTGGATCGTGGCTCACCACCACTCGACCCTCGTGGGCTCCGTGAAATCCTGAGTCCAGTGACTCTGAATCTCAGGTCAAACTGTCGGCCCAGTAGATCCACATCGTAGTCTGTCATCAATAGATCACCGTCTCCATCTTCCTTGTGGTAGTCCAGCCTTGGTGCTTGCTCTTGGGCGCTTGGTGCGGCGTGATCTTCAGAGTTTACCTTGAAAGACACACCAGCTATCACCAATCTCCACTCGACCAGTTCCACGGCGATGAAATTCTGGGTTTCCTCCATGACAGAGCGCACCAGACTTTCTGGAATCCTGGGAGCACGCGTCGAAGACCAGCCAGGGATCAAATTGACAAACTCAAATCCGGCTTCGAAGAACAGAGTCTGCAGAATGGCGACGCACTCGCGGGTGGTCATGATACTCTGGGGAATCGTAGTCGCCATGAGATCCTGAGCAGTTCCGACGCCCCACCGGGCGAGGTGAAACTCAGAGATCCAGGCTTCATCTTGATCCTCCAGAGACATGAGGTAGTCTCCCGTTGCGTACGCGGCCGCGAAGTACGAGTTGGCATCCGGTTTCGGAGTCGGCCACTCATAAACGACACTTGGCGGCGTCACCTTCCCAGGATTCACCACTTCCCAGCGTCGAACTTCACGTCGAACGTACAGCACCATGCTCCTGGCGTCCAACGCCGCTGCTCCCGATTCCGGAGCAGGCGCAGCAGCTTCCCGGATGTCGCTTTCAGGCGTCTTCCTGGGTGTCGCTTGCGAACTTGGCGCTGAAACTCTGGGTTCAGGTGGTGCGCACCCAGAATTCACCTTGGAACTCTGAGTCTTCGCCTCCTCCTTCGCTCGCACGGGCTCCGACTTCACTTCCACAACAGACTCGTCCGAAGATGAGACCAAGTCAACCACCTCCGGGGGCTCAACCGCATTGGCGCCTCCCTCAGACGCCTGAACACCACCCTCGCGGGTGTGCTCCTCTGGGACTTCAGGAATCCGCGACCCAGAATTCACCTCCGTCGAACCTTGGAACCCAGGGGAAACTTATTCCTCCTGAGTTTGCGATCCAGCAGCAGGCTGACCTTGGACTGCAGACGCCTCGACGTCCCCACCTTGCACTGCCTCGCTCTCGCGAGCAGCCTTCTTCGCCTTCCGAGCGTCGCGGACGACTGTTTCCAGGTCCTTGTGCTCCTCAGGCTCCATACCTTGAACACGACGCGACTGACGTGACGCCTCAGTACGTCCTCCGTCACCGCGTCCACTCTTCTTCGCCCCTCGTCCTCCAGGCATCTTGGTAGCTTGAAGTTGACGGGCACTCAACACTTCTTCAACACTTGATTCCGATGAAATCCTCGACAATCGAATCCGGGCGCGCGCACCAGCTGAGGCGAGGCCGATGAAACCTTTGTCGCCCAGGGGGGGGGGGGGTCGTATAGCGCAGCCCAAGACTGTTCCCCAGGGGTAGACCCAGAGAATCGACTTGAGAGTCAACAGCAAGAAGATAGACCCAGAGATTCGCAGCCGCAAAGCTTTAAACCCTGAGAATCACACTCCTTGGTTGATGTGGGTACCTTGTGTAATCCCTGTCGGCTCGTTTGTCTTCGACGGAACGGCACTCCACCGGTTGAAAATGTAGCCTCGAAGAAGTGCGGGAGGCGCACGTCTACTTCAGAACGCACCTCCACACCAAAAGGCAAACCCAGATAATCAGATCCCCTGAAACCCAGAATATCACGAATTCAGGGTCCAGGTTTTCAGTCAACTCTGGGACTTGGAACTCAGAAGACACCTTACCCAAATGTCTCCTAGCTCGATAAAACCTACAAATACAGAGTATACAAACACTACAACTAGCCGTCACTTATTCTTTTGGACCCTTGGACGGTGGGTCACACACACACACTAGGCTCACTCGAGTCTGAAATTCAGGGGCCTAGCTCCCCTGAGACTCACACAAACGCGCACCACCTCCAATAAAGGAGGAAAATACAATCACTATCAGTTACCTTCCCTTCACACAAGCAGTCAATACAAAATCCTGGAGGCGACTACCTAGCACCCCAGAATACCCTCCGGAATAATATGAAATGGGCTACCACGAGCACAGCAAGTGACCCAACTAGGATATGGAATAGATGGATCACCCCAGGAAGCTCACGGCCGTCGCTGGTCACCACCTAACTGGACTTGAGTTTGATGGAGCCCACACAGACGGCTGTCCTTCGCCGTTGATATGCCCTTAGCGTCCCGCGGTCGTAGTCTCGGGTCCTCCGGATTTCCGTCGGCAGGCTTGGCCGAAGTCACTTGCGCAGTACAGGGTAAAAGGAACTCTGTTTGGTTTTTATCAGCTACTTCTCTCTCTCTCTCTCTCTCTCTCTCTCTCTCTCTCTCTCTCTCTCTCTCTCTCTCTCTCTCTCTTCTTCGGGCAAATATCTTCTGTTCACTATGCTTGGGGTCAAAATGTCTTGTCTTGAGTATACCTTGGGATCAGCGGTCCAATCTTGCGATCGGCTTGCGAATCCATTGTCGCACGGCGTCGAAAGTGCCAATTGTGGGTCCTTAGACTTGGTTTAGTATGGTACAGGACTCCCTCTCGACTCCTCGAAAGTATCCAGTCTGTACATCCATGACGGTTCTTCAAGGTCACGCATCACTTTGATTGCAGACTGGCTTCGAACTGACTCGAATCCCTGAAAACCAGGTGACACTCAGGGTCATCTTCTGAAATCCTGGGAATTCTGAGGAATCTTGGGGAACTGTGGGGATTCTTGGGTGTTGGCTCGGGAAACACTTAAGTTCAGTATAGAGAGTCTGGATTTATGGCTGGTAGTGCCCATAGGGACAGACGAACGCAGAGATCAACTTGGCTCTCTCGGTCATCTTGATAGCCCAGAAACCACTCGCCATGTCCAAGCTCATATACCACATCGCCGACTCAAAGCCAATCAAAAGATCATCAATAAGCGGCAGCGGATAGTGGAGAGCTTAATGAAGCCATTCACCACGCGATAGTCGATGCACATCCGGATGTCGACGCCATTCTTCTTGAGGACGATCACGATTGGAGATGCCCAGGGGGACGTAGAAGTCTCGATCAGCCCGTTCTCCAGAAGCTTCTTCAGAAGGTCATACACCTTAGTCCACAGGTGTGGTGCAATGGACCTTGGACGCTGGGCAACAGGTTTAGCGTCGTCTACATCCAGGTCACAAACCACTCCACGGGCAGGTGGGGGAGCTGCATTGCCGTCTCCCAAGAAGATCTTCCGATGATATTCCAGAATTCGCCTCACTTGGTCCTCCATCTCGGGCGTCGTTTTCCCAGGGACTCCAACATCTGCCTCCTCGATCTTGCACTTAGGGGTCAAGTCACGCATCTCAGGAAGCATAACCAACTGGTCACGCAACTGAGAGAGCAACTCACTTCCTTCACGTATGTAGACCGCAGGCTCATAGTCGAGGTCCTCTGTCGAAAGCCGCATGCAGCGCTCATATTCCTGCTTCAGCTTCTCCAACGGAGTTCCCGGCATCTCTGAGATCGGGATATCCCAGTAATCTTCAACAGCATCCTGAGAATCGTCGTCATCCACATCGAATCCCAGAGAATCACCTTCGTCGCACCACTGACCCTGAGAATCACTGCCAACTTCAACCTGTAAACTCAGAGTTTCAGCGGCCGTATCACCTTCAGGACTCATGCCCTCTGGGGTTCCGACAGTCTGCGAGGCAACATCGGTCACCGCCTCCTTCAGAACGTCGCCCAAGTCACTCGTATCAACAGCAACATCTCGGAGTTCAGGAGGGTCTTCAGGAGGCACTCCTTCAGTCTGAGTTGCAGCGTCTTCAGCGAAGCGCACGCGACGAGGCTTCGGTTTCCTGAGAATCGAGGCAAGCAGTGCCATGTCGGGGCCCTTTGCAGGTCGCGGCAGAATCTTCGTAGGCCACTGTTACTCTGGGGCCTCGACACAGGATGGCTCAAGCGCAGCCAGGTGTTCCGCCCGAAGTCTGCCCTCACGCCACTGAACACTCTCCAGAATAAGCGTCTGCCACTCCCGATACGTAAACGAACCAGGGCGCACAAAGCGTCCGGCACGTGGGAAGAAGCCGCACTCCACAATTCGGGCGACTGGCGTTCTGTTGTGAATCCAGACGTCCTTGTCCGAGATGTTGACCACCTTCACGGCGACCGGCCAGGATCTCGCAGCGTAAATCAGGTGCGTTACCCAGCGGTCACCTCGTCCTGCCCACACAACCTCACGCTGTGGGTTCGTCGGTCCATACGAGATCTTCACCACCTTGGATTCCCCAGGGGCCAGGTACCAACTACCTGTGGTTTCCACGGGCATGTCGACACCCAGGCGATCATCTGGAGTCCATCCACACATCATGATCGCCTCTTCATCCGGAAGTGTCACGAGACCTTCGCGAACACTGATCCTCACTCCAGCTGCAAACATGAAACTCATACCCAGAAGAACTTCGATCCCTTCGCCGATGTTAGCAATCCAGACATCCAGGAGATATATCACCCTCGAACCGAGAGTAATCTCCACCTGAGCACTGGCACCGATGTACGTCGGAACGCCTCCCATGCCAGACACCTTGGTTTGCTTATGCGACTTGAGTGTGAGTCCGAGCTTACGCGCTAAGTCGAAGCTCACAATATTCACAGTCGCACCGGTATCCAGGAGAACTCTCGTCCGGCAGTCGTTCACAGCACCATGCACCATCGCCACATCACGTTTCTTTGGGTCAGGATCATTGTTTTCCCACCATCCGTAGCGCTCTCCAGGGTTCAGCTTGTACTCCACAATTTCTTCAGAGTTCACCGACCCAGAGTTCGCTTGTTCAGGATGCTGATTTTCAGGGGAAGTCATGAAATCCTGAGTCAAAGTAGTCATGCATTGTTGGTTATCTTGGGTTCTTGTTCTCAGCTCCGGGCCTACATACACTAGGACACATAACGCTGGGGCCTTCTTCAGCCCGGCGCGTACTGGGTCCCCACCCAGCGGGCTTATTGGTTTGACGGCCTCCCAGAGTTTGCTTCGCCACCCAGAAGTTTATCCAGGATTTGGCTCGGCATGTTCTTCAGTGCACCTTGGCGGGCGAGTTTCTTCACAGCTTCCAGTGTCTTCCAGTCTCCAGCAGTCTTCCAGTCTCCAGCAGTTTTCCTCTGGGTGCTCCCATATGCCGCACTTCTCGTAGAACTTGTCCCAATTCGGGTTTTCGCGGCGAGGGGAACGGAATCCAGAGTTCGTGTTCGGTCCTGGTTGGGCGTTCGGTGGACGCCATCCCATGCTATCCATCACGCGATAGACCTCGTTCGTCAGCGTCTGAGTCCGCTCGGCACCCTTCATACTCGCCAGACTCCCAGCGCTAGGCGTAGAAGCTTCTTCTCCAGAGATCTCACGAGTTGACCCTGAATTCGCGCTCGTGCTTCGGGCTGAAACTCTGGGTTCGTCCGTGATTTCCTGGAAACGCGCGTGAATTTCAGGGTCTTCGTCTGACTCAGAGTCAGAGACATCGCCCCTAGTCACATACGCACGTCCTTGTCGCTTCGGCTTGAAACGTCCCTGAGGAATGTTGTCAGCACGAAAGTCACGAACTCTGGGTGGCGGAGCATCATGGTCGCTGCGGCTCCAGCCATCTTCGTCCTGTTCCAGGGCGTACTCTAGATCAGCGATACTCCTGAATCTCTGGCCCTGCAGCGACGTCTTAAGGCGCGTGTCCCTGAGTTTTGTGATGAACCTCCGGATATGTTTCTCCAGGCGCTTCGAAGACTTGCGAAAGTCAATGTCAGCCTTCCCCGCGGCGGAATTCAGACGATAAAAGAAATCCAGGGCGCTCTCTGAATTCTTCATCTCCATCGTCAAGTAACGTTCAGAGTACGACGAGCGCGCTTTGCAGTACTTCTTCCTGAATGCAGACGCCAACTCCTTCCAGTCACGCTGAGTGTGTTTGGGCAACTGGTTGAACCAGTCACGCGCAGCTCCCGAGAGTTTCAACTTGAGTTCCTGAATTCGCATCTTCGTAGACCAACCTCCCTGAGCCGCCATGTTCGCAAAACGCTCCCACCAATGCACGCGTTCCCTGAGTGACGCCTTAGTATCGAACTCACCCAGAGTATTTGAGTTGATGTACGGTCTGAACGTCAGGAGCGTAGTGCCAGCTTGAGCCGTAGAGGCCGTCGTCAGGTTAACCCCAGGATTCCCGTCCGAACTGTCATCCGAACTCTCAGAGGACGAGTCATCATCGCTGGAATCGGAGCTTGGGTCTGAGTCCGAGGGTGGATT